CTTGATTTGAAACGTCAGCTCCGATCATAACGATTGCATAGGAATTGTGAAAAGGAAGGTGCTTGTTAAGGGTGAACTCGCAGAGTAGCGCGGAATAATGTATCGAAGTTATGAATAACTGAATGACGATACAATGAGTGGCGAGGCAATATAAAGGAACACCTAAGCTATCCTAGCCGTGAGATGAGAAGGTTCAAGCATGAGATCGAAGGGCCTCGAGGTTTCGCTGAGAGGCCTGGTGGACTTCTGTCAGTTAGGTCCGAAGGTCTTGAACAGTGTCGAAGGTTCGGTTCGAAAGGTTTGGTACTGGTCCGAGGGTTCACTGGTCTTCAAGTGTACGCGATAAACAGTACAGCTCGGTAAGGAGATATACACGCGTAACAGTGCTGAGAAACCTAGCAGCCCACTGCCGTGAGTACAGCGGGTATGCTCTATGCTCCAGATCCGCTACTCGCAAATATGAACTACGACGAATAGGAACGGTACGCAACGGGCAAACTGGATAATAGAGTAGCACCAGGGATTTTAGATGGGGTGGCGTAGGCCGTTTTACTCGTTCTGTTTACGATGAGTGCCTTGGCGTATTTGCGTCTTGGGCCACATTACCAACAATTTCTCCGCGTGTCATATGAGGGCTCATATGGCCTCTTAAAAAACGCACAGCGGGATGGTTGTCTGGTCAGAAACACGCTGACAAAAAAATCACACCTCGTTCTCGACCTTCCCATAATCAGCGCAAACTCTAGACGCGCAAAACAAATAACATAGAAAACCCTTTTCGTGGTCTCACGGAAAGTGAAAAACGGAACGAAAATTTGACTACTTCATTGAGCGGCTTCCTTAACCAACCACAAATGTTTACGACAGCGAAAAAGACCCCCTCGAGAAAATAATTTTCGAAATATGCTGTTGCTAACGGCGATTGAAGGAATGAGGGTCGTGTTTTCGTATTCGGAACGGACCTATTCTTGTCACGCGGGAAGCCTGAATATTTACGTGATTCGTTTAAATGAATGGAAAACGCCTTGAATGCTTTTGATACGAGGATCAGAATAGGACCGTAATCGTAAGGCAGAATGGATGATTTTTTTTGCACAGTTCACGTGCCTGCGAACAGCTTGCTGATTTTCCAACTTGCGATATTTTATTGGCCGTTGGGTTGCCATCTGGATTGGGATTCAATTTATTGGGACTAAGTGGCATACATTGCGGTATTGGATTTCGCGGAAATATTATGCGAATTTCGTCCAGCCATTATCAAATCGCAAGGACCCCCGTCAGAAATTTCATTGGCAGACGGGGCATTTTGCGACGTTTACCGTACGTACTACAGTAGTTATACCCCGTACGGTCGGAGTATAGCGTGTTGGATCCTACCGAATCATGAACGTTAGAATAGTATTTGGACAAAAATTTCAACGACCTAATGGCATATCCGCTGTACACGTTAAACTCCGTTAGAATCAAACGTGTATGTGAGGCCGGCTGCATTTGGTTTTTTTTCGGAATGTGTTTGTACGTGACTGCCCGTGGAACCGACCGCCAGGGGTATTTCCCGAGCCCCTGAAGAAGTAGGGGTGTATTCTGGAGTGACGAGTGTTTGGTCCCTTGTGGAGGGAAACCATTGAGTAAAAAATGCAAATAAAAATAGTGCAAGGGATCGCAACAGCTAGAAAGACCCGCGCACTGTAGCGAACTGTCGACTATCAATAGTACGAAACAGAATGTTCCGAATGAAGGGTTACGCGACATGGAGCTTCTAGAATCAACAGCTCGACCCATTAAGGTCTGTGTTCTTTCCAACATTAAGCCATATTTGGTCTTGGGCAATTTCAAATTCCATTTCTTCGTGTAATAAGATGCCTATCTTTGCAATAACTGTATCCGTTTTTTGCTGCTACAGCGGTTATGCCATTAGGTCCGTGACATTTTACTCCATATAATACTGTCCAGAATTTGATAAGATCCACCACGATGTACTGTTTGTATGGTATACATCTACTGTTAGACTTCGCTAAAAATGCGCAAAAGAACATAGTGACCAATTACGACAGTCGCATAATGCCACCGACCATCGATTCACGCCACCCAAATTGGGTGCGATCGCAGCATGCGAGCGTGACCAACCAATCCGTGAGTGCGAGCTGAGAAATTCCTCGTGAATTGTGTTTGGAATTTCCCGGCCAATACGCGCTTGCCAGGGCGATCCAACGTAATCACGACGGACTAGGGGGGCGAGCACAAAATCACAGACCCCCGTCCACCTGACACTTTTGCGTGCGCGCTGACATATGCATGAATTGGTACCCCCTTTTCATCCATTCTGTCTTACTATTACGGCCCTATTCGAATCCTCGTGTCAAGAGCATTCGATGCATTTTCCATATTTTAGAACCAATCACGTAAATATTCAGGCTTCCCGTGTGACACGGACAGGTCCGTCACGAATACGAAAACATGACTTCGGGTGCCTCAATCACCATTAACAACTGCACATTTCGAAAAGGGTTTTTCTCATGGTTTTTTTTTTTTTTTTTTTTTTTTTTTTTTTTTTTTTTTTTTTTTAACTTTCGTTTAAACGTGTGACTGGTTAACGAAACCGCTCAATTCAGTCGTCAAAATTTCGTTCCGTTAAGCTCTTTTCGTGAGACCACGAAAAGGGTTTTCCAAATTATTTGATTTGCGCGTTTTGAGCCTGCGTTGCTTGCGGGCATGTCGAGAACGAGGTGTTACTTCTATTGTCCGCGATAATTCTGACCACACGACAAATTCATTGAGCGTTTTTTAAGAAGCCACATGAGCCCTCGCATGACACGCGGCGAAATCGCTGGTAACCTGGCCCATTGGCAAATACGCCAAGGCACCCATCATGAACAAAACTAGTAAAACAGCCTACGCCACCCCACCTAAAACCACTCGTGATACTCGATTATCCATTTTGCCCGTTGTGAACCGCTCCTATTCGTCGTAGTCCATATTTGCGAGTCGCGGATCTGGAGCATAGAGCATACCCGCTGTACGTGATTTGAGACAAACGAGATTTCTGGTGTACAGTACAACCATCCTTGCTCGATGGTTGCGTCGAATATGAACTGCTACGAGTGGCTGGCTCGCTCCTGCTTGTGGTGCACGCTTGTTCAGCTACACAGTAATTTGTCGTCAGGTTTCGTGTTCTGGCGAGAGGGTTGAACCACATACCCATAATCGAATCGCTTCAGATACGGAACTGTAACGCGCTGACGTGTTGAGCCCAGGGGAAGGGCTATTGCTGTGCTGTATCAGGGATTTGTTATTAGTAAATGAAATAACGCGGTGGGTTTCAGACCAAATCAGATTTTGTGTAAGATAACCCTGATTGAATCCTAGCAATTTCATAAACGACTAGGAATGTTTTCGCTTTCCCTAATCCCGACACCGTGTCCACCCTACCCACCATCGGGTCCTCTCCCCGCATTCATCCTCTGCTGGTCATTAGGGAGGGACAGCAGCTGTTGAGTAGCGCATCTGAGTAATTTCGCCTGATTTTGCCGGGTAATTTCGAGGGGAGCCTATCTGAGCTGGCGATAAACTTAAAGCCCCAATATCATAATTCTAAGAAGAGAGCAAGTGTCAAATGTTTGGTACCCAGTTACGCTGGCGAATTTGAAGCGACAGTCTTGGAAATGCCTCGGACAGTGTGCTGTGCTAGGGGGGGGATACCAACCGAAAAACCAGTTCAGCAATATGAGAATCCGCAAGTTTACGGAAGAACGGTCCCGATGCACCGTTAGATCATCGAGAACCTTCGATCTGACGGTTGAGTGACTGGATGTTTAAATCGACGGCTATAAACGAAGTAGAAAGTTGTTGCGCAAAAAATTGGAGTTTGCACTGTCCGATGTGCTAAACCTGACGCGTCCCAAACTTCCCCAAACCTGTTTCTTGGTTTGGAGTTTTTTGTCGAAACAAAACGGCCTCGCCACGTGAGTTTCGTTTTCGTAGTTTTGTTTACACCTCGCGTACCAATCAGTGCCTGTCTGTCTCAACCAAGTTTACAGCTCGCGTACCAATTCGTAGGTTTGTTTACAACTCTGTTAATTATGAGATGGGGGCTTTAGCTGCGGGTCGCTTTTGTTGGGACGGAACGAGGCGGACGTTCTGCTGAAGGTACAAATCGTAGTGCGGAGAGTTGCTGCTTCGACAAGGGAATGTTTGGGTGGTTCGGGTAGAGTCGACCTAGTCCACGATGTCAGGAGATTCGGGTCAGTTGAGATTTTCAGTCCAATTTGCCCGTAAATAACAGTTTTGACACGAAGTCACGTGACCTTGTGTCGGTAAGAACATCCCTAATATCGGGCGGGCAGAGCAACCCATCCTTCAGCCCGGATGAGGACTACGACTGTGTAATATGAAATCTGGTCTCATCGGGGTTTGAAGCCAGAACGCCTCTATTTTAGGAGAAATCTAGTGTGTGTTTTGAAGTACGTGTCCTGAGTTGCGCCGTTGAAAAGGCTTCTCCCTCGAGCCTACTGCATGGGACAGAGCCCCGACCTAATGTTCCAGACCAAGCTGTAACGAGAACGTAGGACATCCGCTTTATATCCTATATTTTTAGGATTTTTGCCTAACAACCCGGAAACGCCCGGGAACCAGTGGAGAGATTTGCCGGTTTTGCATTTCGAAATCCCGACCCGTACTCAAGAATCCGCGTGACTTCGGGTGGGTTTTAATCCCGTGTCAGAAACTCTGACATGAGGTTGCTGACGGTTAAGAATGCTACACGTCATCACAACTGCCGATGTGTCACGTACCCGATCGTCGTTATCTTCGTGTTTCGCAAATGACACGGGGCCAAACGCATTCTTTGTACGGATTCGTACCATCAGGACCTGAATGGTTCGGCGGTGTGTGCATTATTGGGGAACTGTAGGTGACTAACAGATCCTCCATCCATTCCAACGGCTGTCGCTCGTCCCTAGGGCGGAATCCTGCACCATAATTACTCGCTGTATCTGGTGGCTAACAGATCTGTCATATTTCAGCTGTCACGCTGTCTCTTGGACAAAGCACCCCAGGCGAAGGAAGAGTGTGGGAGGAAAGCCATGCCCCCCCACCCTGACCGGGGTCAGTGTGGCGTGGCAAAACCTCCACGATTTTCTTTGAAAGACGGGCGTGAACTCAAGCCTGCTTGGGTGGTGGAATGGAGGGGGCCAAAGGGCCCTGCGAATGGAATCCAGTCATATCCACCCTCAATAGTTTCGACACTCAGAATTATTAGTACCCTATTTGCACAGGCCCCACCCCATCCATCTCCTCGTTTGGTGCAGCAGCAGGCCACATAGGAGAGCATGTCCTCCTGGCTCCGCTGTTGCCAGCGTAAGCCATGTGCATTGCTTACATGCCCCTGAACTGCGACAGTCATGCCATGTATCCAAAGCAGATTCAAACGCACCATGCCATGCATAACTTTGGCGTTGCCCATTGATATAACCATGGCTCGACGGGGTTCGCAAATTGAAGTTTGAAGATCCTAGGCGGCAGTAGTGACCGTTCAAACACTGTATGAAACCTCCAGAAAAGTTTCCCAAGGTGATGTCGAGTCGGGCGGTGGTGGCGCGAATTGCGGCGGCGGTGGCGGTGTGGATGGCGTGCGCGGGCGTGTTGGCGGGGCTGGTGGCGTGGAGGGTGCAGAAGGGCTTCGACGACAATCGCAAGGCGGAGCTCGACGCCTGGTGCGCCGGTCGAGCGCGCTCGCTGCAGCAGCAGTTTATGCTGACCGCCGATCACGTGCAGGTAGCGACCACGTGCAGCGACCACGTAGGCGAGGGTCCCGCATTTAGGGTCCCGCATTTAGGGCCCCGCTTTTAGGGTCCCGCTTTTAGGGTCCCGCTTTTAGGGTCCCGCTTTTAGGGTCCCGCATTTAGGGTCCCGCATTTAGGGTCCCGCTTTTAGGGTCCCGCATTTAGGGTCCCGCTTTTAGGGTCCCGCATTTAGGGCCCCGCTTTTAGGGTCCCGCTTTTAGGGTCCCGCTTTTAGGGCCCCACATTGAAGGGCCCGCATTTTCTATCCCGCATTGCCCCACAGTGGTGCGCGATGCGCCCAGCCAGTCCGCTGGGAACTTCGCGAGGGGAAGGGCTGCAATGCGACGAGGGTGGAACGGATGGTGACACATCGTGGGAGAGGGGGAAGCGGGGTGGGGGCTGGGGGGGGGCGGTGGGGGTGGGGGGTGGGGGGAGATGATGGTTTGCCGATGCGATGTGACGTATCGTGCACGATTCTCCCTCCATCGATGCGGGGGTGTGGAGTGGACACAGAGGAGCTCAGCAGCGACATGGCGACATTGTCGACATCTTCCTAGGAGCCCCGTAGAAGCCCCGTAGAAGCCCCGTAGAAGCCCCGTAGAAGCCCTGAGTAATGCGCGCGGCGCAAGCAGAGCCTGGGTGCGTCGCCGCGGTCGTCCAGGTCGTCCGCACGCGAATGACTTGACTTGGCGGGAAGCGAATGATTGAGTCCATGCCGGACGAATCGAAGACGCTTCACGGAATGCGATACCACCCGCTGCGTCCCCTGAGAAGCCGCCGCGTTTCGGCCCAGTCAGTAGGGCGCGCGGGTGCGTCACACTGGTATCAAGGGTTCGACTCCTGGCTGGATACGATCTCTGGGCGGCTGAGTAATGCGTGGCGGAAAAAGAACTGCGGCTGTAAGCCTCACTGAGCAGCGAGGGCATGCCCGACACACGATTTGAGTGCGACCTCGTGCGAAAGATGATTCCGCAGCATCTACGGCCCTCGCGAGGGCCAGCTTTGGAGCCGACAGGGTGGTTGGCGGCCAGGGGGGACGGGTGGAGGAGGGAACTGGGTGCACCGTGTAACGTCCTGTGTTCCACCGAAACGCGGAAACCACCAGCCGCGTGCTCTAAGCCGCGTGCTGTAAGCCACGTGCTATGTAACCACCCCCACCCATGCCCCACCCATGCCCCACCCATGCCCCATCCATGCCCCATCCATGACCCATCCATGCCCCATCCATATCCCATCCATGTCCCATCCATGCGCCATCCATGCACCATCCATGCCCCATCCATGCCCCATCCATGCCCCACCCATGCCCCATCCATGCCTCATCCATGCACCATCCATGCCCCATCCATGCCCCATCCATGCCCCATCCATGCCCCATCCATGCCCCATCCAAGTCCCATCCATGTCCCATCCATGCGCCATCCATGTACCATCCATACCCCATCCATGCCCCACCCATGCCCCATCCATGCCCCATCCATGCCCCACCCATGCCCCATCCATGCCCCATCCATGCCCCATCCATGCGCCATCCATGCATCATCCATGCCCCATCCATGCCCCACCCATGCCCCATCCATGCCCCATCCATGCCCCATCCATGGCCCATCCATGGCCCATCCATGCCCCATCCATGCCCCATCCATACCCCATCCATGCCCCATCCATGCCCCATCCATGCGCCATCCATGCGCCATCCATGCGCCATCCATGCGCCATCCATGCGCCCATCAGGTGCTGGCGGGTCTGGCCACGGTGTTTGGCGGCGTGCGGAGGAACCCCTGGGCGGTGGGCAGCTGCATGACGCAGAGGCGCTTTGTGCACTTCGTGGAGCGCACCATCCCCGCGCAGCCCTGGGTGCACGCCGTGGGCTACATGGCCATCATCAACGGCTCCGACAGGTGCGCTTTCCCCCTCCCCTCCCTCCCTCCTCCCCCCCCGTTCTCTCCCCTCCCTCCCCCCTGCATCGCGTCATGTTCTCGTGCGCATCGCAGCATGCCTTGGTGCTCGGATGCCTTTTGTTGCTGCTGCTTATCTCCCTTCCAACTCGATTGCCAATGAGAGTGCCCTCGTCCACATCAGCTGCTTCATACCCATAAGGCTCTCCGCTTTCTCCCTTCTCCCTCCCTGCAGGGCGGCCTTTGAGCGTCAGGCGCACTGCCAGCTGCTGGACATACTGGGGAAGTCGGCCCCGGTGGCGGACTGGTACATGAACTCGCGCATGTGGTTTCAAGAAAACCCCCCGCTGCCACTGCTGGAGATGACGTCTACCTGTGTCAACGTGCGCACGCACCCCTCGTACGGCCCGCAGCTCAACCGCATGCACGAGCTGGGCGCCAACCTGCTCAGCTTGCCCTACGTGCTCGACAATGGGCAAGTGGGCATGGGTGAGTGGCTGGGGCGTGGGTCAGTGGAAGGGGCATGGGTGAGTGGAAGTGGTATGGGTGAGTGGGAGTGGTATGGGAGAACGAGAGTGCCATGGGTGAGTGGGACGAAGCACGAGTGATTGGTCTTGACGCCCCCTAAACGCCCCCCCTCCCCCCCCCCCAATCTGCTGCCAGGCATGGGATTCCCAATCTTCAAGGACGGTGTGACCACATCGTCCCCCCTGGCGGAGCGGCAGGCGGCGCTCATCGGGCTCATCGCGGCGTCCATCGACTTCAACAGCCTCGCCGCTTTCATCATCAGCGAGGTCCTTCGGCAAGGTGCGCGCTGCTGCGACTAGGTGCGCGCTGCTGCGACTAGGTGGGCGCTGCTGCGACTAGGTGCGCGCTGCTGCGACTAGGTGCGCGCTGCTGCGACTAGGTGCGCGCTGCTGCGACTAGGTGCGCGCTGCTGCGACTAGGTGCGCGCTGCTGCGACTAGTTGCGCGCTGCTGCGACCAGGTGCGTGCTGCTTCCTTTTAGAATGCCTACTCCAATGTAGTGTTGACGTCTTTAGATGAACTGTAACTTGTCCAAGCTTCACCATTTTGTTTCAAAAGAAAAAATAAAAGCGTGTTTTCCTCTTCCTACTGCAGGTGTGGAGTATGCCCTTGAGGTCTATGATGTCACCTCCACTGACACTCTCGCCTTCTCCTCCACCGCCTCTGCCGTCTCCATTGACGGCACCTCGCCTGCCCGTCGCCTGCTGTACGGCGTGGGCGACCTGCCTCAGGGCGATCCCATGCAAGTGTCAAAGCTCATTCCGCCCTCCAACGAAACCATGCTGCAGCCACACCGCTACAAGTCCGTGCAGCAAATCAATGTCACTGACACTTCGCGATCTTACCAGATGTGGTGCCGGTGAGTTGCCTCAAAGTCATTTGCTCGTTCGAAGGCGTATTTCGTCCTCACACCTCGTTGGTCGTCACACCTCGTTGGTCGTCACACCTCGTTGGTCGTCACACCTCGTTGGTCGTCACACCTCGTTGGTCGTCTCCCTCAGAGCATTCCGCCTCCCTCTTCTTCCCTCCATTTCTACGGGTAGATTGAGCTTCCACACTCCTCGTCCTGCCCCGCCAATTCTTGGCCCCTCCACTCCCCATGCCGCCCCTCCACTCCCCATGTCGTCCCTCCACTCCCCATGCCGCCCCTCCACTCCCCATGCCTCCCCTCCACTCCCCATGCCGCCCTTCCACTCCACATGCCGCCCCTCCACTCCCCATGCCGCCCTTCCACCACCCATTCCGCCCTTCCACCCCCCATGCCGCCCCTCCACCCCCCATGCCGCCCCTCTTCTGCCAGCTTCGGCGGCTTGGACACGGCGCACAGCTGGACGGCCATTCTGCTGGCCACCGTCATAGTGGTGGTGGCGGCGCTGCTGGCCGCCATCGGCGTGAGCGTGGCGTGCAACACGCGGGCCGTGCGGGAGAAGACGGTGGCGCTGGAGATGCTCAAGGAGAAGACGCAGGAGGCCGAGAGGAACAAGAGTGCCTTCATTGCCAACACGGCTCATGAGCTCCGCACGCCGATCATCGGCGTCAGGGGTGCGTGGGAATGGTTGGTGTGAGTCATTCACAGGTATGTTCACTGGCCGGGCCTCAGGCCGGCCCGGCCTGTCCCGACCTGCACGGGCCAGGCCGGTTCAGGCCGGACCTGCTTCCAGGCCGGCACGAGGCCCGTGATTACATGGTGAACCGGGCTAAGCCTGCCCACAGGACGGGCCGGACAGTGCAGGGCTCGGGCCGGGCCGGATTCAAAGAGAGGCCGGAGCCCGGCAAAATGCGAGCTTGGGCCGGGCCGGCTGGACCCCGGCCTGTCCAGTGAATATCCATGGGTGCTACTTGATGATCGTGGGACTGGCTTGCTGTATTTTTTATTCGAAACAGTTGCAGAGATGATCATGTAGCTTGTGATTTTGAGTCATGGAGGTTGTTGTGTATGTTGTGAGAGCACTAGTCATTATGGTGCGCATGACTCACTCTGTGATGGGGTGCGGCGCCCCAAGCAGGCATGTTGGAGGAGCTGGCGGAGGGCCAGGTGGACGAGGGGCAGCGGGAGGACGTGGGCACGGCGGTGGGCGAGGTGGAGCGCATCCTGGCGCTCATCAATGTCGTGCTCGACGTCTCCAAGGCCGAGGCTGGCCGCCTGCAGCTCGAGACCCTGCCCTTCCACCTGCGCTGCTGGCTGCGCGAGGCGCTGCACACCCATGCACACGCCGCGCAGGCTCGACACCTGGACTGTAAGGAGAGCACCCTTCATCGGTCCTTACCAACTTTGCCCCTTCCATCTTCACCCCTTTCTTGTTTTCCTTATCGCTTTCTACTAGAAAGCTCCTCTCATCTTTCTAAAATGCACATGTGTTTTTTCTCTGAATATTTCTTCATGTGCCCATGCCCAGTCACATGCCATGTGGACACTAGTGTGCCGGAGGTGCTGGTGGGGGACTACCTGCGCCTGCAGCAAGTGGTGGACAGCATCGTTGGTGAGCCACTCGAGTCCTCAGCTGAGCAATTGTTATCAACCATTGATCTTCCTCTGGTTGCTCGATTTCGGAGCATAGCACGTTTGATGATTCGATCTCTTGTTTGCCCTCCTCCTGTCCTATGCACTCCGTGCCTGCCGCTCGCTGTGCTTGCTGCAGACAACGCCATCAAGTTCACGTCCAGTGGAGGGGTGTGTGTGCGGCTGCAGTGCCTCCCCGCCACCACCGACATCCCCGCTCACCTTCGATCACTCGGCTGCCACGTGGCTCAACACACCCCAGCTGCTGCCAACGCTCCCGCCGCTGCCACCAGAGCTGCTGCGCGTGGCAATGAGGGGGGGGGTGCAGCGAGGGCGCCGTTCATGGAGCAGGTGGAGCAGCGCGGGCTGGCAGCGGCTGTGATGGGCGTGTGGGCGCCGCGGCTGCTGCAGGAGCGGCTGGCCTCGCTCAATGCGTGGCCGCTCGCATGCCCCCTGCACACGGGCATGGTCACGGAGAGGGAGTGGTGGGGGGGGGAGGATGGGGAGAGTCAGGTGGGGGAGGAGGGCGAGAGGCTAAGGGAGTGTGAGGAGGATGAGGCGCGGAGGGAGTGCGAGGAGGGAGAGGGGGCAAGTGCAGAGCAAGGGCGCAGTGAAGGGCTCGGTGGTGAGGCCTGGGGGAGAGGTGAAGGGGGGGATGCAGCAAGGCAACCAGGGGAAGCTGAGGGCACGAGAGGAGAGACACATGGACGTTTGGCGTTGGAGAAGAGTGGAGATAGGGAGAAGGAAGGAAGGGGAAACATTGTTTTGAGGGAGGGTGGCACGGAGAGAGCTTTGTTGAGGCATGCAGATGAGGGTGAGGGGGATGGCCATGGTATAGGGGGGCCTTGTGTTGGCGCACGTGAGGGAGGTGCATGTGAGGGAGGTGCATGCGAGAGAGGTGCTTGCGAGGGAGATGCATGCGGGAGAGGTGCATGCGGGGGAGGTGCATGCAGGGGAGGTGCATGCGGGGGAGGTGCATGTGGGGGAGGTGCATGTGGGGGGGGTGCATGTTCGGGGGGTGCATGCGAGGGTGGTGCATGCGAGGGAGGTGCATGCGAGGGAGGTGCATGCGAGGGAGGTGCATGCGAGGGAGGTGCATGCGGGGGAGGTGCATGCAGGGGAGGTGCATGTGAGGGAGGTGCATGTGAAAGATGTGCATGTGGGGGAGGTGGCAACAAGGGTGCATGGATGGATGCAGCGAGGCAGTGGTTGTGCGGGCCTTGCACTGAAGGGAGCGTGGTGTCTGAGGGGAATGCTGACAGGCGATTGGTGCTGCTGCTGACGTGTGAGGACACGGGGTGTGGGATAGTCGAGGTGGAGCAAGCTGATGTCTTCCACGCATTCATGCAGGTGAGCGTTCATGCAGGTGAGCGTTCATGCAGGTGAGCGCTCATGCAGGTGAGCGCTCATGCAGGTGAGCGCTCATGCAGGTGAGCGGTCATGCAGGTGAGCGGTCACGCAGGTGAGCGCTCATGCAGGTGAGCGCTCCTGCAGGTGAGAGCTCATGCAGGTGAGCGCTCATGCAGGTGAGCGCTCATGCAGGTGAGCGCTCATGCAGGTGAGCGCTCATGCAGGTGAGCGCTCATGCAGGTGAGCGCTCATGCAGGTGAGCGCTCATCCAGGTGAGCGCTCATCCAGGTGAGCGCTCATCCAGGTGAGCGCTCATGCAGGTGAGCGCTCATGCAGGTGAGCGCTCATGCAGGTGAGTGTTCATACAGGTGAGCGTTCATGCAGGTGAGCGCTCGTGCAGGTGAGCGCTCGTGCAGGTGAGCGCCTCGTGCAGGTGAGCAATCGTGCAGGTGAGCGCCTCGTGCAGGTGGGAGCTCGTGCAGGTGAGCACTCATGCTGGTGCGCGCTCATGCTGGTGAGCGCTCATGCTGGTGAGCGCTCATGCAAGTGAGCGCTCATGCAGGTGAGCGCTCATGCAGGTGAGCGTTCATGCAGGTGAGCGATCATGCAGGTGAGCGTTCATGCAGGTGAGCGCTCATGCTGGTGAGCGTTCATGCAGGTGAGCGCTCATGCAGGTGAGCGCTCATGCAGGAGAGCGCTCATGCAGGTGAGCGCTCATTCAGGTGAGCGTTCATGCAGGTGAGCGCTCATGCTGGTGAGCGCTCATGCAGGTGAGCACTCATGCTGGCGAGCGCTCATGCACGTGAGCGCTCATGCAGGTGAGAGCTCATGCAGGTGAGCGTTCATGCAGGTGAGCGCTCATGCAGGTGAGCGCTCATGCAGGTGAGCGCTCATGCAGGTGAGCGCTCCTGCAGGTGAGCGCTCGTGCAGGTGAGCGCTCGTGCAGGTGAGCGCTCGTGCAGGTGAGCGCTCATGCAGGTGAGCGCTCATGTAGGTGAGCGTTCATGCAGGTGAGCGTCTCGTGCAGGTGAGCGCTCGTGCAGGTGAGCGCTCGTGCAGGTGAGCGCTCGTGTAGGTGAGCGCTCGTGCAGGTGAGCGTCTCGTGCAGGTGAGCGTTTCGTGCAGGTGAGCGCTCGTGCAGGTGAGCGCTCGTGCAGGTGAGCGTCTCGTGCAGGTGAGCGTTTCGTGCAGGTGAGCGTCTCGTGCAGGTGAGCGCTCGTGCAGGTGAGCGCTCGTGCAGGTGAGCGCTCGTGTAGGTGAGCGCTCGTGCAGGTGAGCGTTTCGTGCAGGTGAGCGTTTCGTGCAGGTGAGCGCTCGTGCAGGTGAGCGCCTCGTGCAGGTGAGCGCTCGTGCAGGTGAGCGCTCCTGCAGGTGAGCGCTCATGCTGGTGAGCGCTCATGCTGGTGAGCGCTCATGCTGGTGAGCGCTCATGCAGGTGAGCGCTCATGCAGGTGAGCGCTCATGCAGGTGCGCGCTCATGCAGGTGAGCGCTCATGCAGGTGCGCGCTCATGCAGCTGAGCGCTCATGCAGGTGAGCGTTCATGCAGGTGAGCGGTCATGCAGCTGAGCGTTCATGCAGGTGAGCGCTCATGCAGGTGAGCGCTCATGCAGGTGAGCGCTCGTGCAGGTGAGCGCTCGTGCAGGTGAGCGCTCGTGCAGGTGAGCGCTCGTGCAGGTGAGCGCTCGTGCAGGTGAGCGCTCGTGCAGGTGAGCGCTCGTGTAGGTGAGCGCTCGTGCAGGTGAGCGTCTCGTGCAGGTGAGCGTTTCGTGCAGGTGAGCGCTCGTGCAGGTGAGCGCCTCGTGCAGGTGAGCGCTCGTGCAGGTGAGCGCTCGTGCAGGTGAGCGCCTCGTGCAGGTGAGCGCTCGTGCAGGTGAGCGCTCCTGCAGGTGAGCGCTCATGCAGGTGAGCGCTCATGCAGGTGAGCGCTCATGCAGGTGAGCGCTCGTGCAGGTGAGCGCTCGTGCAGGTGAGCGCTCGTGCAGGTGAGCGCTCGTGCAGGTGAGCGCTCATGCAGGTGAGCGCTCATGTAGGTGAGCGTTCATGCAGGTGAGCGTCTCGTGCAGGTGAGCGTTTCGTGCAGGTGAGCGCTCATGCAGGTGAGCGTTCATGCAGGTGAGCGCTCATGCAGGTGAGCGCTCATGCAGGTGAGCGCTCATGCAGGTGAGCACTCATGCTGGGAGCGCTCATGCACGTGAGCGCTCATGCAGGTGAGAGCTCATGCAGGTGAGCGCTCATGCAGGTGAGCGCTCATGCAGGTGAGAGCTCATGCTGGCGAGCGCTCATGCAGGTGAGCGCTCGTGCAGGTGAGCGCTCGTGCAGGTGAGCGCTCGTGCAGGTGAGCGCTCGTGCAGGTGAGCGCTCGTGCAGGTGAGCGCTCGTGCAGGTGAGCGCTCGTGCAGGGGAGCGCTCGTGCAGGTGAGCGTCTCATGCAGGTGAGCGTTTCGTGCAGGTGAGCGTTTCGTGCAGGTGAGCGCTCGTTCAGGTGAGCGCCTCGTGCAGGTGAGCGCTCGTGCAGGTGAGCGCTCGTGCAGGTGAGCGCTCATGCTGGTGAGCGCTCATGCTGGTGAGCGCTCATGCTGGTGAGGGCTCATGCAGGTGAGCGCTCATGCAGGTGCGCGCTCATGCAGGTGAGGGCTCATGCAGGTGCGCGCTCATGCAGCTGAGCGCTCATGCAGGTGAGCGTTCATGCAGGTAAGCGGTCATGCAGCTGAGCGTTCATGCAGGTGAGCGCTCATGCAGGTGAGCGCTCATGCAGGTGAGCGTTCATGCAGGTGAGCGCTCATGCAGGTGAGCGCTCATGCAGGTGAGCGCTCATGCAGGAGAGCGCTCATGCAGCTGAGCGCTCATTCAGGTGAGCGTTCATGCAGGTGAGCGCTCATGCTGGTGAGCGCTCATGCAGGTGAGCACTCATGCTGGCGAGCGCTCATGCACGTGAGCGCTCATGCAGGTGAGAGCTCATGCAGGTGAGCGTTCATGCAGGTGAGCGCTCATGCAGGTGAGCGCTCATGCAGGTGAGCGCTCATGCAGGTGAGCGCTCATGCAGGTGAGCGCTCATGCAGGTGAGCGCTCATGCAGGTGAGCGCTCGTGCAGGTGAGCGCTCGTGCAGGTGAGCGCTCGTGCAGGTGAGCGCTCGTGCAGGTGAGCGCTCATGCAGGTGAGCGTTCATGCAGGTGAGCGTCTCGTGCAGGTGAGCGTTTCGTGCAGGTGAGCGCTCATGCAGGTGAGCGTTCATGCAGGTGAGCGCTCATGCAGGTGAGCGTTCATGCAGGTGAGCGCTCATGCAGGTGAGCGCTCATGCAGGTGAGCGCTCATGCAGGTGAGCACTCATGCTGGCGAGCGCTCATGCACGTGAGCGCTCATGCAGGTGAGAGCTCATGCAGGTGAGCGTTCATGCAGGTGAGCGCTCATGCAGGTGAGCGCTCATGCAGGTGAGCGCTCATGCAGGTGAGCGCTCATGCAGGTGAGCGTTCATGCAGGTGAGCGGTCATGCAGGTGAGCGCTCATGCAGGTGAGCGCTCATGCAGGTGAGAGCTATGTTGGCATAAACGCATTTCCGCGTTTTTGCGTTTCGTTCTGAACGCTTGCGTTCAGGACGCAAAACGCAGGATTCCAGGCTTCAAATACGCTCGAAAAACGCCTGCCTGGGCAGGCGGGAAATTTGGCCCGGGCAGGGGACGCCATGCTAGGGGCTGGAAGTCGAGTAGCTTAGGTGCTGGAAGGAAGAACGTAAGAGTACTAGATCGTCAGTGGATGTAAGGTGAGCGAATTTCTCCTCTACAGGAAGATCTGGATCAAGCGGGGGGGAATGGGTTGGGATTTTCAACACGTTGGGAAAAGGGAGGGAGGGATTGATGAGTTATCTTGTCGCTATGAAAAGTTTCGCGACTGCACGACGACGAATTTGCGACGTGCGAAACGTGTTGGCGTTTCGCGACGCGCGGCGAAATGTGTTTCGATTCGCGACTTCGTGGGTTTTTTTGTGCCTTTTTTTGTTCCGGTCAGCCCAAAAAATTTCAAGGTGCGTTCGAGCGTTTTGACGCGTTTTTGCGTATTCCGTTTAAACGATTGCGTTTAAATGCAAAACGCAAACTCACAAAAGCGTTTTTGTCAACATAGGGTGAGAGCTCATGCAGGTGAGCGCTCATTCAGGTGAGCGTTCATGCAGGTGAGCGCTCATGCTGGCGAGCGCTCATGCACGTGAGCACTCATGCAGGTGAGAGCTCATGCAGGTGAGCGCTCATGCAGGTGAGCGTTCATGCAGGTGAGCGCTCATGCAGGTGAGCGCTCATGCAGGTGAGCGCTCATGCAGGTGAGCGCTCATGCAGGTGAGCGCTCATGCAGGTGAGCGCTCATGCAGGTGAGCGCTCATGCAGGTGAGCGCTCATGCACATGAGCACTCATGCAGGTGCGCGCTCATGCAGGTGGGAGCTCATGCACGTGAGCGCTCATGCACGTGAGCGCTCATGCAGGTGCGCGCTCATGCAGGTGAGCCCTCATGCAGGTGAGCGCTCATTCAGGTGAGCGCTCATGCAGGTGAGCCCTCATGGAGGTGAGCACTCATCCAGGTGAGCGCTCACGCAGGTGAGCGCTCATGCAGGTGAGCCGTGCAGCAGGTGTCTAAGAACGAGGTCGGGTGGGTTGACTAGGTAATGAGGAACCTTGCCTGAAGTACATGAGATAAATCTAACCTTATCTTTATGAGCGTCACGGTATGAGTGTTTCACGAGTGGTTCTTAGCCCGAGATGAGGTCGCCATGCCATGTAAACAAACGAAACAGGGGTCCCTCAATTGGGTTAACTAGGAGTGCAATGGCGATCGTGGTTTTCTTCTCACTTTTGAACCTCGGACGAATAGGCTGACGTGAAACAGGAGTGCATCACCCGCAGCTGTTGCTTAACCAATGCGCCTCTTTGCAATGCACCGCCCACCCCTCAGCCACACCAGAAGAGACACGATCATGGCGGTAGCGGGATGAGCCTTCACTTGTCGCGACAGCTGGTGAGTGTTTGGCAGCTGGTGAGTGTTTGGCAGCTGGTGAGCGTTTGGCAGGTGGTGAGCATTTGGCAGCTGGTGAGTGTTTGGCAGCTGTTGAGCGTTTGGCAGCTGGTGAGCGTTTGGCGGCTGGTGACTGTTTGGCACAATACTAGCCTTCGACACAAGTCTTCCTCCCTTCCTTCTTCCTTCTATAGAAAATATTCTCATCATTGCACATTTTATCTCTAGCAAGTTGTGTGTGCATGGCTCAACTGGTCTGCTAGTCTACACCGTTCCCCTACCCAACTTGTTCCAGGTGTCCCTTTTGGGTGGCAGCATTGGTCTGCTCAGCACGGAGGGCCATGGCACCACTCTGCACGTCGCTATGCCATTCACTGCTGCCGCTGCACCTTCTCCTCTTACTGCTGCTGCTTCGTCTGCTGCTGCTGCTTATGCTGCTACCTCTTTTGGTAGTGACGCTAGCAGTGGCTGCGGGCCTCACCCCAGCAGAAGCTGGAGTGCGAGCGAGGGCGAGCACGGGTGTGGAGGGGGGGAGAGCACAAGTGGAGTGAAGGTGGGGGGTGAGAGGGTGCAGAGTGCCAAGGAGGCTCTCAAGGAGATGCTGCAGGGCATGGCGATCCTGGTGAGGAGCATTGGCTTAGGAGATTTATGGAGGATCTTGGCATTTGCTGCGTCAACAACTGCCTCCCTCATCATCCCCAACTGATACTTCCCCCTCTCCCTTGGTTTCCTCGCATCCCCATCTGTGACATCAGATCAAGATCCCATATTTCCACCATCCACCCCCCACCCCCTCCCCTCCCAACGGCCTGTGCTAAACCCTGTGTCTCCTCTCCCCATCCATCGTCACCCCCCTCTATCAACCAGGTGGTGGATGCCAATGGGATGAGCCTTGTGTAAATCTTCGTATTTCTCAATCCTCCCCATTCCCCCCAACCCCCCTCCTCCAGGTGGTGGACGACAATGTGATAAACCGGCGGGTGGCAGCGAGCACGCTGGGGCGATACGGTGCTGACGTCACACTGGCAGAGTCAGGCGAGGCGGCTCTGCTGCTGCTGCAGCCGCCGCACTCCTTCCGCCTCGTGCTCATGGACCTCCACATGCCCCTCATGGACGGCTACCAGGCCACGGCCCTGCTGCGCGCCATGGAGGGGGGCGCGGGGCGCATGGAGAGCATCTCAGAGCTGCTGGAGGGGGGTGCTGAGGGCCTGGAGGGGGGCCCACAACGGCAGCAGCGCACGCATGTGGTGGCCATGTCAGCAGATGTCGACAGCGCCGTTGCTGCCCGTGCCACTGAGGCCGGCATGGATGGGGCGGTGCAGAAGCCACTCAATGAGAAAGTGCTGCTTAAGGTTCTTTCAACTTTGTCTGCGAAGCAACGGAGGTACAGAACCCACTCAATGTGACGCGTTAAAGCCCGCGGCTCAAATAGCGAAGTCAGAAACCACTTGGAAATTTGAGAAAGGGAAAAATGACAGAAGGATGAAACACCCTACATACCGCTTTCCCTCGGATAAAACACCTGCCAATCCTAATCACCCATGGTTTGTGTGGGCGGACCTGGGTGCTGAATTGAACTGGATATTCAGACCACCCTACTTTTGGACATGAATTCTACACACCACCCCACCCCCACCCGGGTCTCGAAGTGTCCTAAACGGCAGCGAACTCCAGGAATATGAAGTGCGTGGCCCGTCAGGTCCGACCCGAGTGGAGGTTTCAAGGTACCGTACACTGATTCGAAAGGGAAACCCAAGAAAGTACTCTGATTCGACACATGTTCTCAAAACAAATCGAGAAGAGCAGTTCAAATGAAATCTTGACAATATTCTGCCAGGGGCTGACGCTTAGGACATATTCCTGCCCAAACAAAAACGGGTTTGGTTGTTATAGTTCATATATGTGTTAGGAATATATATATAAACTATAGCCTAGGTAGTATCAGTTCTTATAGGGTTCAACACTTGGACAAAACTCAGCACCTATGATTGCCCTAGACATCTTTTCTCCTCACGACAAGGTATCGAGCTAGGTCTCGCTCCTAGCTGTCACGCTTCCGCCCTAGGCGCTACCAACTCCCCTCCCACCCTCGCTTACCTCCTTAGCCTAGGTTAGGCTTTAGTCTGTCCCTCTAGCCTGTGCCATAGCCTACGCTCTAGTTCTAGGCCGCCGCCCTGCCTTCGCGCTGCCCCCATTTTGCTGCCAGAGCGCTCGCCCGCTGCCCGCCTACCGCTCACTCGCAACCGCCAGCAGGCCGCCGACGCAAGCAGCGCGCTAGCCGCTGCCAGCTCAGCCGCAGCTCGCCGCCACCAGCAGCGCGAGCTGCTGCCAGCTCGCCGCCAGCCTGCTCGCTGCCAGCTCGCCGCCAGCGGCTAGCTAGCAGCTCGCCGCTGCCAGCTCGCCGCTACCAGCTCGCCGCCAGCAGAGTGCTGTAAGCTTGCCGCCTGCTCGCTGTCAGCAGCACGCTGCCAGCTCGCCAGCACCTCGCTGCCAGCTCGCCGCCAGCTCAGCGCCAGCTAGCTGCCAGCCGCCAGCCAGCTGCCAGCCAGCCAGCCGCCAGCCAACTAGCCAGCAAGCTGCCAACCAGCCGCCAGCCAGCTGCCTGCTCACTGCCAGCTAGCCGCCAGCTAGCCGCCAGCTAGCCGCCAGCTAGCCGCCAGCTAGTCGCCAGCCGCCAGCTGCCAGCTACCCACCAGCCAGCCGCCAGCCAGCCGCCAGCTAACCGCCAGCCAGCCGCCAGCCAGCTCACAGCCAGCCAGCCGCCAGCCAGCTTGCCAGCCAGCTGCCAACCAGCCAGCCGCCAGCCAGCCAGCCGCCAGCTAGCCACCAGCCAGCCGCCAGCCAGTTGCCAGCCAGCCAGCCGCCAGCCAGCTGCCAGCCAGCTGCCAGCTACCCACCAGCCAGCCGCCATCCAGCCGCCAGCCAGCCAGCCACCAGCTAGCCGCCAGCCAGCTGCCAGCCAGCCAGCCGCCAGCCAGCAGCCAGCGAGCTAGCCAGCCAGCTGCCAGCCAGCCAGCCACCAGCCAGCTAGCTAGCCAGCCACCAGCCGCCAACCAGCCAGCCGCCAACTAGCTGCCAGCCAGCCGCCAGCCAGCTGCCAGCCAGCCAGCCGCTAGCCAGCTAGCTAGCTAGCTGACCAGCTTGCCGCCAGCCGCTCGCCACTGCCAGCCTGCCTACTGCTAGCCGCTGCTGCAGCCGGCCTGCCGCTAGCCGCCGCTGCCGCCAGCCTGCCACTCGCTGCCGCTGCCTCCAGCCTGCTGCTAGCCGCCGGTGCTGCCAGCCTGCCCCTCGCTGCCACTGCCGCTAGCCTGCCGCTAGCCGCCACTGCCACCAGCCTGCCGCTCGCTGCCGCTGCCGCCAGCCTGCCACTAGCTGTCCCTGCCGCCAGCTGCTAGGCGCCAGCAGCCAGTCGCCAGCTGCCGCCAGCCGCTAGCCGCCAGCAGCCAGCCGCCAGCTGCCGCCAGCCGCTTGCCGCCAGCTACCGGCCGCCAGCCACTGGCCGCCAGCAGCCAGGAGCCAGCCGCCAGCAGTCAGCCACCAGCTGCCGCCAGCCACTTGCTGCCAGCTACCAGTTGCCGCCGCCAGCCTGCTGCTGCCTCCTGCCTGCTGCTGCCGTAGGCGTAGTGCTTGCTGCTCCCCCCTGCCGCTCGCTACTGCCGCCAGCTCCTGCTGCCTGCCTGCCACTGGCCGCCTGCTGCCTTGTGCCTTCCATGCCCGCCAGCTGGCAGACCACCACTCCGGCCACAGCCACCACTGCCGCCACTGCCGTTCGTGCTCCTGCAGCCACTAGTGCCTCCCACTAGTCTCCTCCTCGTTTCTGGAGTCCCTTGCCGCCTCTCCTGCCGGCATGATGACCTCGTCAGGGTCTATCCTTTGGCTGGACGCCGAAGGCCGGGCGGTTGACTTCGCTCCCTGGTTCCTCGCCAACCTGGCCTCCTTCCCCACCATCCTCGACCTCGTTGCACACCTCCGCAACCTCGAGGTATGATCCAGTGCTGCCTGGCGCGCACTGCAGCAATATCAGCAGCCTCAGTGGTAGCAACGGCGGCAGTAGCAGCAGTGACAGCAGCCGTGGTGGGGTCCCGGGAGTGTTGGGCACGGTGGAGGTCCTGGATGTTGGGCCTCGGGGCGGTCGCTGCCCTAGGGATGGCGTGGTTTCTCTGGGGGCCCGAGGGCCTGGGGTTAAGGGGTCTAGGCCCCACTGCTGTGTGTAGTCTAGGAGCCTCTGGCCTATGTAGACCAGGCTCCTTGTCGGCCCCTGCTGAGGCGGCCCTCTCCTTCACAGTGGACTCTGGCGCGTCTCGCGGCTTCTTTCGGGACCGCACTGCATTCAGACTCACCTGCAGCAGCTGTAACCTGCAGCACTATGCCTCTCCCTTGTCCACCTGTCCCATCTAGCTCCCTTACCAATTTGCATATCCCCACGTTTTCCAGGAACCTGGTTGGTGTCAATCATATCCAGCACCTTGGTGTCACCACCATGTTCCCTGATCACGAGAGATATGCAGCTTGTACACACGACGCCACATGTGCCCGTCTTGCCACCTTTAACCGCATCCCTGCCTCTGATCTCTTCACACTGCACACGGAGTCCCCCCCGACAGCCGCATCCACCCATGTTGCGTCCTGCTCCCGTTGCTCCCTCACCCACCCGGCACTCCTGTGGCACCACCGCCTAGGTCACTCTGCTCTCCCGCACATAGTACACCAAGGTCTAGTTACTGGTCTCCCCGCATCACTCCCCACCCTCCTCGCCTTGCTAGCCCCCGCGTGCACCTCCTGCATCAAGGGCCGGCAATGCGCCACCCCTCATTCATCCTCATTTACTCCCACTACTGCTCTTTTACAGACTCTGCACATGGACATCTGGGGCCCCGCCCCGGTCCAGTGGCCTTGCAGGGAGCGCTACTTCCTCGTGGTGGTCGATGACTTCACACGGTTTACCACGGTATTCCCATTGGTATGGAAGGCAAACGTGCCTGACGCCCTCCTCCCATCCCTCCGTGTCGTCCGCACTCGGCACTCCCTGCCGTCCGTGTGCTCCTTCTTCACTCCGATCTTGGTGGCGAGTTCGCCTCCGGCCGCCTTTGTACGTTGTGTTGTGCAGAGGGCATCACCCATACGTTCACCCTTGCGGACTCGCTGCTGCTGAATGGGGTAGCTGAGCGACACATCGGCCTGATCATGGAGGTGGCCTTCACCTGCATGGTCCATGCCGGTGCCCCCCATTTTCTGTGGTCGTTCGCGGTGCGCTATGCGACTCACTAGCTTATCCTGTGGTCTCGCTCCTCGCAGCCACATGTTTCACTGACCCTCCACTGGATTGGGTCTCCCGTTGACGCGTCAGTGTTCCACGTCTGGGGCTGCCTGGCTCACATCTGCTCCCTCGGTGCACACAAGCTATCAGTCCGCACTGTCCCCTGTGTCTTCCTCGGGTTTCCGCTCAACGCTCCTGAGGCGTTGTTCTACCACCCAGGATAGCACCGCTTATTTCGCTCTTGTGACGCTATGTTTGATGAGTCTATCTCCTTTTATGCTCACTTTCCTCACCGTGGCACTCATGGTCCTCCTCCCCTTCTCTTCCTTGCCCCTCCTCCGCCTGCCGCTCCCCTCCCACCCCACTCGGCCCCGTCTGGTGTCTCTCACGCCACTCCCTCTGATGATGCTCACACTGCTCATCGAGTCGTCTCCCGCTTTCTTGCCTCGCTTGTTATTGACCCTACTGCTCCTTCTGAGGGTGTCTTTGTCCTTGTCGGTGCTGTCGTTGACTTTGCTGTGAGCCACTGCCTTGACTATTCTTCCGCTCTGGTCTCTGACCCTGGCTGTCCTCCGTTCATCGGGGGCTCACCTGCCCTTGGCAGTAACGTTCTAGAGGATAGGCAGTACGAGTTAGCTCACTTTGTGGATCCTGTACCTCATCTCTGTGCCATGCTTGTGTCCCTCGAGGGTGAACCGAACGCCTTGGACATCCCTACCCTGCGCTCGTACGCTGAGGCGGTCTTGGGTGCCTGGGCAGCCCACTGGATACAAGCCATTGAGACTGAGATGGCATCTTATAGATCCACTGGCGCTTATGACGACGTAGTTACTCCATCTGGAGCGAACATAGTTGATGGCATGTGGATCTATAAGGTGAAGCGCCCACCTGGAGAGCTGCCGTAGTTCAAGGCGCGGTATGTGGCCAGTAGCATCAGTCAGCGAGACGGTGTGGACTTCTTCTAGACCTTCTCCCCTAGCCCAAAGATGACTTCTCTTCGGGTACTCCTCCACGTAGCCGTACAGCGTGGCTACGAGCTCCACTCGCAAGACTTTTTGACAGCCTTCTTACAAGGCAGCCTACACGAGCAGATCTTTCTGCGGCGCTTATAAGGCTTCACCAAATCCTTCGCTCATGGGACCCAGTGGAGCCTGCACCGCCTTGTCTACAGTCTGCGCAAGGTGTCCCGTCAGTGGCACGATATACTCCGCACTACACTCACGGCTCTCGAGTTCTTTCCGTCCTCTGCTGACCCCTCGCACTTTGTTCGTGCTCGTTAGAGTATGTTATAGATACTTGTCTAAGTAGATGACCTTCTCTTTGCTACTCCAGACAGAGTCGCACTGGCCTCCGTGAAGGCTGAGCTGCTCAAGCAACACGCCTGTACAGACGTGGGAGAGCTACGGCACTATCTAGGCTTGGAGATCTTTCGTGACCATGCAGCACGCACGATCACACTCTCCCACTCCCGTATTGTGTAGCAGATCCTCCTGCGGTGTGGCTTTCAGTTCTTGTCAGCACAGCCCAACCCCTCTGTCTGTAGATCAGAACCTCTCAACTCCTGTTTCCGGTA